TTTACGTCCACTAACTATGAACATTCTAGGCATCACTTCCCACCTTGACATAATAAAGGGCAAGAGGACAAGTCAACTGGTACTGAAGGTGCCCAGGAACAATCTTGAGTAACAGTAACAGCAATCGTGATTTCCAGAAATGGGACCAAATGACCGTTCATCCTAGAAATATGGCGACTGCAAAATTAAAACCATCAGTTCCCAGATGTTGCTATGACCCATGATTTCTGTCTAAGTAGTATTTGAATACCTATTATTTTAGTTTGACCTAATGTAAAAATTTATTAGTAGATAAAATTCACTTGGAAGCAGCCCAAGTGTCCATTAATCCATGAATGGATAAAGCAGATGTGGTATATATATACAATGGAATATTACTCAGCCATAAAAAAAGACTGAAATCTTGCCATTTGCAATGACACGGATAGAGCTAGAGAGTATCATGCTAAGGGAAAGAAGCCAGTCAGAGAAAGACAAATACCATGTGATTTCACTCATATGTGGAATTTAAGAAACAGAACAAATGAGCAAAGGGAAAAAAAGAGAGAGAGAAATCAAGAAACAGACTCTTAATTATAAAGAACACACTGGTGGTTACCAGAGGGGAGGTGGGTGGCCAAAGGAAGTCAAATAGCTAAGCCGAGATTCAGAATATCCACAGGCACGGATACAGAGTGTGAACAAATCCTGGTCTGTTACCACAGTAATCTGCCGTACCTGGCACTGGTTTTGACACATCACAGGCACTCAGAAATAGCAGTTGAACAACTGAATACTGGTGATTTGTCTATTTTTTTTGTTATCAGTATGGACTTCCAAAATCTTCCCAACTACCGTTGACACACAACTAATATACTGATGTCTACCAGGGCAAAGATTCTAGTGATGTGCTTTCTGTATCAAGGGGATATAAAAGGCATGTTTTTCAAATTTTCAGATGCCATGATGTTTGAAGCTAATACATTGAATGATATAATTAAAATCCAAAATATTGAGTTAGAATCAACATAATATTTTTTTAGTTATCAGAGTATTATGTTCATTTACATGTTTTGTAATAAAACAAAAAATGTTTTATATTAAAACATGGAAAGCATGCAAAAATGTGAACAACCTAATGACCAGTAAAAGAGGATTGATTAAAAAATTATAGCAATCAAAAAAAAAAAGAGTAATGTAGGGGATTAACATAAGAATAAAAAAAAAATTATAGCAATCTATATACTGGAAAACTGTGCATCTTATGAAAGATGAGATATATATTCACTGGATAAATACATACACTGATATTGATCCATCTATCTATATCTATATATATTCTTATGTGGAAACATTTTTACAATAGTGTTAAAAAGTGAGTTACAAAACAGTGTATTAAATATAATTCATTTTTGTTATATACAATGCATAAACACATACACGATCATATGTTTATATCTGCAGAATACTGTCTGGATGGTTACAAACAAAAAGGTCTTGAAAAGATATCTGCATCCCCATGTTCAGTGCAGCATTGTTAATAATAGCCAAGATATGGAAAAAACCCAGGTGTCCATCGAAAGATAAATGGACAAAGAGAACATGGCACACATACACAATGGAACAGTACTCAGCCATAAAGAATGGAATTTTGCCACCTGTGACAACATGGATGGAGCTTGAGGGTATTCTAATTGAAGTAAGTCAGAGAAAAACAAATACCATATGATGTCACTTACATGTGGAATCTAAACAACAACAACAACAACAACCAAGCTCATAGGTACAGAAAACAGATTGGTAGTTGCCAGAGGGAGGGATTGGGCAAAATAGGTGAAGGTGGTCAAAAACCACAAACTTCCAATTATAAAATAAGTAAGTCATGGGGATGTAACACACAGTATGATGACAGAAGCAGACAAGTAAGCAAACAGTATTTTTTTAAAGATTTATTTAGTTATTAGAGCGCGTGTGAACACGTGGCGGGGGGGAGGGGCAGAGGGAGAGGGAGAGAGAATCTCAAGCAGACTCCATACTGAGCGCGAAGCCGGACCCAGCTCTTGATCTCTCTCACGACCCTGAGATCATGACTGAAATCAAGAGTCGGACGCTTAACCGACTGAGCTAACCAGGTGCCCCAGTAAGCAAACAGTATTGCTTACATTGTACAAAATGTTTAAAACCTAAATGAAATCACTCTCTTTTCCTTCATAACCTGAATCCTTGTAGCTGCCTTCTTTCTGGCTCTTTTTGTATCACAGACCAAAAAAATCGTATCTCTCTTTCACATAATTATTCTACCACTGTAGGAACACAAAGATCATCTTGTTCTCTTCTTTCGTCCTTCAAACGTTCTTTGTGTGACATGAAGGTGTACTGCCCTTTTACCCAAGAGATCCACAAGTGCCAGGATGTGCCATTTGGGTCTCTCTGGGAGTTAGCTGTTTGGTACCATCACCCGCCATATGTGTTTTGTGCAACAGCAAGAGACATATTCTCTACCACTGGCCCTGCCCATGATGATCCTCCCCGTTCCTTCCTCGAAGGGGCCCCTTCTCTCCTTCTAGTTGTGCAGTTTGTTCTATCAATCCTCAGGTCCATTTCTTGAGCATTCAGAATGATTTGATGATTATCTAACTGTGTTCAAGGATTGAGGCGAGCCTAGGGTCCTCTTACTACACCACCATCTTATCTCGTTCCTGGCATAAATATCATATTTTATTTTTTTAATATTAATTAATTTATTTATTTATAGAGAAAGAGACAGAGAACCCCCATGAGCAGGGAGAGGGGCAGAGGGAGAGGAAGAGAGAGAATCTTAAGCATGCTCAGCACGGACCCCAACTTGGGGCTCAGGCCCACAATTGAGGTCATGACCTGAGCTGAAATCAAGAGTCAGACGCTCAACTGACTGAGCCACCCACGTGCCCCAACATAATATTTTGAAAGGATAACTAGTAAGTTCTGCATGTAGATACCAAAAATTTATTTTTGAAGTTTAGAATGAAAGACCATGTTTCACCTCAAGTCATTTGAAAAAAATACTAGGTTTTAGACCATTCCAAGTTCATTTGAAGCCCACAGCATCATCTGTCCAGTAAAAAACATAAAAATGCAATTTTTAGTCTACATGGATAGGTATTTGGGATCATTATCTTAGAGCCTAATAGACTGGTAAGACCAGCACCCATATACCTTTTGTGCATTTCTAGATGTTCCAACTAAAGAACTTTCACAAGTTAGAAAAAAAGTCTCAAGGCAAGCAGCCAGGATTGTGAATAATGTGGAAATCACAGATATTTATCCTAAAGCAAAGAAACTTAGAGAAACATGATACTGATCTTCCAAATCTGAAGAAGTATGTCGTATAGAAGAAAGAACAATCAACCTGTAATGTTGCAGCAGTTTCCTAGAACCAGCAGCTAGAAGGTTCCAGGGAAGCAGGTGTTCTCTCAGTGACAAGGCCTCGCATTTAGACACACATGAAATGGAACCCTTAGTAAAGACTGAACTCCTCTCATGGAAAATATTCAAGCAGACACTGTGTGGCTATCTCTCAGGGATGTTGCAGAAGTAATTTTTTAACTTTGGAGCAAGGTTGATCTCTTGCGGTTTAAGTTCGCAACCTGATTCAAGTTTGCGTCTGGTGCTTTGTATGGCTGGAGGAGGGGACAGGTTTGGGAGGGAGGGCTCCTGCCAGCGTTGGAGAAGACTCACTATTGTCACTTGTATGTGAATTAGTTAGAATAACACTGTCGCGGAGTACCAGACCAAAGAGAAAATGACTCAGCATTATTTTGTGATGGAAACTGAATTACAGCAAATATTACCAAAATGAGAGTCACAAATTCATTTCAAATAAAGCAAGACTAGAAATTTCCCATTTTAATTATTTTGTGTACAAATTCTATTGTTAGTGTACCCATGCGTTTGCCCATCATTCCAGGAAGATGTATGGGGTTTTTTTCTTTTTGCCTCTTCTCTCAATGTAGTGATCTTTATCCTTTTATTACTGATAAAAGCAAACATTTATTTTTAAATTGTAAAGCCATTATTATCCTTCCCCTAATTAATTCTATCTCTCTAGCTGTGCTTTGTCAAGTACTGCTTTTTTGTATCTTGAAATACAAACAAAACTGGTTTTAAAAGGTTCCCTGTGATGTTAAGCACAAAGAATAAAATAAATAAGTTCTGTTCACAGGATTTATCTGTTTCACATTTTTCTAAAGCACAAAGCATTATTAATGAAACACTTAACATTAAACTCCCAACAGCCAGGTATAAAAACAACCACACTAATCCACCAGATAAAGAGAAACATGGGAAATCGTTTTTAGTGAGAACAGGGAAGGGATATATGCACTTTTAGTGGAGTTTTAAAAGTTCTGGGTTCTATTATTGTGTCAGAGACATGAAGAAAGGGAAGCTGAATGCTCTTTTTAAGTGACTCTGAAGAGTTTAGAAAGCAATGGAGTAGGTCTGGAGATGAGTAAGAGAGTAAGTAAGTGAGTGAGTGAGAGCAAATTTTTTATTAAATGTGCAAGCTGAACCCCAGAGATCCAAATAAAGTTCCATCATAAAAACCTGAGACACCGTCTTGCTCCCTACTGGCCCAACTGCGAGAAGTAAGGGGAGCGTGCCAGGAAAGAGGGTTGTCAGTGAACTCGGTTAGGAACCCACTTGATAATCTTTGTTAGCGGAAGAGAGGGAGGGATCTACCAAGGCTGTCCCTAATGGGAATTGAGTTTGTGCCAAAACTTGCTGAAGGAGAAGAGGAGGCTGCATTTTGTAATGATAATCAAGGCTTTGCAGTTCAAAAGAATGTGTGGAGAAGCTACATGGGATGTCTTCGTGTGAACAGGAAGTGATAGAATAATGGATAGGGGTCCTTTGGTATAGATGGTGTTAAAAGCACACAGAGTCTTCAGAGATCACATTTTACGTCCGTCCTTTCGCCTGTTTCATAGGTCTTCATTCATACAGATGATGCAACTGATTCACTGGTCAGTAAGACGTATATACGGAGTCTACGTCTTTGGAGATGGACTGGACTGAGCTCAACGAAATCTCAAACCTTATCCCTTTCCTGGCCAAGAGCAGATATGTATGAGATGACTAGCTTTGGTTTAAACTAGTATTTTTTCCCAAGAAACCCAATTTCTCTATTTAAGAGACTCCTTGACCCCCAATAGAAATCAAAGTTAACACAAGTCCTACACATAGAGAGCTCATAGAAATATCACACAGTTCAATAGATAATAGCCTTCTATGAAAGACGTTCTTTCCACAAAAAGTAAACATGCTTATTGCTGAAGAATCAGATAGAACTTTATGAAACTGCCAGATTTTTAAGTGTAAGAATCAGCATGATTATTACACTGGGCATCTTCCATTTGTCCAGGGTTCCCACCCTTCCCCTCCTGGGTCACAACAGGCTACTCCAGATAAACTGCATCGCTGGGCTTCGCTCCCTTCTAGTTGGGCTTCAGATTGGCCACTAGGGAGTAGAGGCCAGAGACAGGAGGGGGAGAGGAAGGGAGGGCAGAGGACTTAGTGCCCCAGCTCCCTCTCTGTCCAGCCCCCTAATCTTGGCTGCTTTCCTCCATTGAAGGCTAGAGCTTCTATCACCCTTCACTCTCCACACTGCCTTGTCTGGTTCTCTGTCCCAGGAGCACTTCCCTCCCCTCACACCTTAAAGCTTAGGGGCTGTAACAGCATTCAGCAGTTACTAGCCCTGGGGATACTCTGTGTACTTTGTGGTTCTCCTATACTCTGACTACTCATTTGTAAGTGTATTTATTAAACTATCCTCAAATGACCCAGGTTGACAGCACCATCTTGACACTATGTGTTTTCAGTGTCTAGCAAATTCACTAATACATGAGGAACGGGGACATTCCATAGGAAGGTGAAACTTTTATACTTGGGTTTTCTCCATTAGTAACTACTATAAAAAATAATAACTAATGTTTACTTGGAGCTTATTCTATTCAAGAAACTACTCTGAAGAGTAGACACAGATCAACTCATATAACCTTATCATTAAACCTGTGAAGACGATATGACCATTATCCTTATAGGCACAGGAAGCTGAAGTGACATGCCCATGTGATAATGTGATTTATGAGAAATATGTATTTGGTCTTCGTCCCCATTTCTAGCCCCGAACTCCTAAAACCCTTGGAATTTCCTAAGCAATAAGAGCAGTAAGAAGTGTCTTTGGTTATTCATAACAAACCCCTTTCGGTCACACCTGAGTTTATGTTAATAAGGTGACTTTTGGGAAGCACCTCAGGATGGGGGCGGGATGCCAGGGGAACCAACCACGTGATTGGAGATTTAGAACTTTCAGTCCCAACAGCTGTGAGCTCTGGGGAAGGGAGAGGGGTTAGAGGTTGATTCCATGGCCAATGGCCAATGATTTAATCAATCAAATCTATGTAATGAAACCTCCATAGACACCAAAAAAAAAACGGGAGATGTGGAGAGAGTGTCACACCTGGACAGGCCATGACAGCTCCGTACCCTTTCCCCACGCCCTGCCCTACTCAGCTCTTCCATCTGGCTGTTCCTGAGGTATATTCTTTTATAACACACTGGCCATCTAGTAAGTAAAATGTTTCTCCTAGTTCTGCGAGCTGCTCTAGCAAATTAATCAAAACCAAGGAGGGAGTTTTTGGAACCTCCAGTACTTAGCCAGTCAGTCAGAAGCGCAGGTGAAAACCTGAGTTTGGGATTGGCAGCTGAAGTTGGGGGTGGGGGGAATCTTGTAGGACTGAGCCCTTAACCTGTGGGATCTGACATTCTCTCCAAGTAGATTGTGTCAGAATTGAGTTGAATTGTAGGACACCCAGCTGGTCTTGGAGAACTGCTTGGTGTGGGGGGAAAAAACATGTTGGAATTGGCACCGGAATTACACTCAGCATCACACAGCTAACAAGTGGCAGGGCTGGGATGTTGAAGCAAAGAAGTCCGACTGCTGAGCCCATGCTGGTAACGCAGGGCAATACGGCCTTTATACACAAGAACGGTACAAGTGTAATTCATGGGGAAAATGTATGCAGTCCAAATGGAAGATTACAGTGATCAAAACTTCCAGCATGTATAAAGTTGCTAAGCATTAAAATTAGACATTTTGGCTTCAACTGTAGCACAGAAATTTCTAGAAGATAAAATGTTATGCCAAAGAGAAATGGTGCTTTCCAAAAAGGTAGACTGGGGAAGAAATTAGAGCATCTACTCTTTACCTAAACGTTTACATCCAAACATATGTACTGACAGGGGCGCCTGGGTGGCTCAGTCATTTGAGCATCTGACTCTTGATTTCGGCTCAGGTCATGATCTCGGGGTCGTGGGATCCAGCCCCACGCGACGCTCCCCGCTCAGCATGGAGTCTGCCTGGGATTCTCCCCCTCCCTCTCCCTCTGCCCCTCCCCCTCCCCCCGCTCACACAGCCTCACTCTCTCCAAGAAAAAAAAACAAAACAAATACACATACATACATACATACATTTTATAAAATATAATCCTTGTAGCAAACCTGTGTGACAGCTGCCACTGTCCGTCCTTTATAGATGAGGAAACTGAAGCTCGGATTGAGGTCACACCACCAAAGGTCACCGATCTACTCAGTCAAAATGTGGTGCCCACCTCAGTCTCAGGGGTGCTGGCCAACTGGGACATTAGCGACATATCACAAGACCCGTGTGAAGCCCCCAGTTCTCAAGCCATCATAACACACAGTCCCATATTAGAGAATGAGATGATGATGACAAAGTTAGCAGTGACAGAAAACAAGCCACCTTTTGCCGTATTTCCAGTTGCTTCAGTAGAATCTGATGGCCCTTTCGGTAACTCTGAAATGGCTCTTCAGTCTGAGGTAGAATTCAAGTCAGACTCCTTCATTTTCACAACAAAACATTCACTTTGCTAGCGCAGCTAGCATCTTCACTGAGCAATTTACAAACACTTCTTACCAAGTCTAATTTAAACCCATAACTTGCCTTAAATGTAGTTCAGACAACTGATAATTGAAAAACCTCAGACTAAGGAACATTAATGATGTGTTGCATTTCCTTTTTTTTTTTTTTCTCTTAATAGATGAATGCCCACCCAGTTTTCTTATTGGTATAGATCCTGTATCTCTCAGGCACCAGACCAGAGTGGAAGAGGAATAAAATGTCTTCCCATCTTCAGTCTAGGTTGCTCTGTCTAATGAACCAAAGCATGGGTAAGAGATTTTTTTTCTTTATCCAGCTTCTAAGCCATAGCATTGTGAGAAATTCCACCCAGATTTTGTTAGTAACCTCTTTTTGTCTTTAAGCTCTTTTTTTAGTTATTATTATCGGTGAATATTCATGAGAATATTTTTGTGAGATGCTGGGAGAATCTACAATCAGAGACATCTCTTTATATTCCTCTACATTTCTATCTTTTAAATTATAAGTCTAAGTGAAGAAGGTTAGGGAATAGGGAGAAAATGGGCACCAAGCAAGACATCATGTCGTTTTATGATACCTAAATTTTGTCAGCTTTTTGTTTCTTTTCTCCCAAATTATGGAACTATTTGCCCATTTCTAGAGACTTCTAGATTGTCTAGAGCTATCTTATGTGGGTACTGGACTCCTAACCAATTATAGAACTGAAAATTTTTATTTTTATATACATTCTTTTAGCTCCCCTAAACTCGATTCTAATAAATGAGTGTTTAATGACCTTGTAATATATGAACTCAGCTCTATGACTAGCTACATAGTTTGTTGAGCCCAACACAAAATGCAACTGTGGGACTTCTTGTTCCGAACTTTTATCAGTTTCAAAATGGCAACAGCAGAGCTTTAAACCAAGTCCTTCTAAACACGGAGCACTGCCCTATGCTGCTGCATGGGCCCCATGCCTATGAGGCCAGCCCTGCTCAGTTTCCGAGATATAGTTTCAGTACATTAAAATATCTTAATGTTGCATTCTTTCTCGGATTATTTTTAAGCAAGAGCCTGTATAACAAATGGCCAAAGGAAGCTTCCTGCCATATGAAAGGCATTAATTTGCACATTCACTTCCTTTTATTGTAAAAAAAAAAAAAAATGGAAAGAAATCTTAAAACTTTTTTTCTGGTATTTAAGGTTAGGAAAAAATGTCTCTTTCCAAACAAATGCATGTGCTTTCCTTCTTTTTCTGTTCCTTCATTTCCAAATACTGATTGATGAGCCTCTCCCTTCAAATACTGCTCTGGACCCTGCGATAGATCAGTGAACAGGACAAATCCCTGCCTTCCTGGAGTTTACACTCCATGGGTGGAGTTAGGATCCATTTTCTAACCTTCTCAGGGAAACTTGCAGCTCTCCTGAGGCTGCCAATGTTTCTGGCCTTTTCCTCCACCAGACGTTGGCCCCCTCTGCATGCTCTATTTAAAAAGCAGGTATTTAAAATTTTATTTTAGTGCACAGTAGGAGCAGAATGGGGGGACCACATTCTAACATACAACCCTCCTGCACTTCACAGAGCTTTTTTTTTTTCATGCAAGAGCAAATTTCTGTATAATTTATGTGAACCATTTAGACATGAATGAAGACTCTGTTTCCACCTAACTCATTAAGTGATAAATCACCGGTATTTTGTGGCAAGTTTCAGGCTTATCTCAATCACCTTCTGTCATGACCAGGCCTCAGTGTTATGTCTAGGCTCTGATAGAAAAGGGGCGGGGGGAGGAGTAAACCAAAAAAATCTGAACAAAGCTTTTTCATTGAATGTGAACACTAACTGGCAAAAGTAGGAAATATATTCCCAGCTAGTACTCTGAGCTTTTGAAATCCCATATCCAAACCAATACGCCTGAAACTCCCTGAGCTGGCGGCTACTGAACAAAATCCTATTTATTGACAAAACAGCAGCACATAGTTATTAAGAACTTGGAGCTTTGAATCAGACATTCTTTCACTACAATCCTCAATTAGAATCCCTAAACTTCTCTAAAATTGTGGCCCAGAGGGATGAAGAGGCAGAGCACAGAGGATTTTTAGGGCTGTGGAACTGCTCTGTATGATACAGTGGTGGACACGTATCATTATATGTTCAAATTCATAGAATGTACACCACCAGAGTGAGCCCCTAACTGGGTGTTAGTGATGCGTCACTGTAGCTTCATCAGTTGGAACAAATGTGCCGCTCTGCTGGGGGATGTAGATGATGGGAGCGGCCATGCCTTTCGGGGGACAAAGGGTGTATGTGGACGCTGTTGTGCTCAGTACTGCTGTGGACCTAAAAGTGCTCTAAAATATATATATATATATCTATTAAAAAGGAAAAATCGGGCCCACATAACCCTCCCAATCCATTATGTCCTTAGCCCAAACACGACTCTCATCTTTCCTTGGCCTTGCAATAAAACACAGTTTGAAGCGCAACACTTTGAAATTTAAAGTATCTCCTAATGGCTTGAAATATCTCAAAAGATTAAAAAAAATACTGAATCAGTACAGAATGATAGGGCAGTGAATAGCTGGTGAGTGTTCTCTCTTGCAGACATTGTAAAAGTACAAATTATTGAGATAGCGCCTTAAATTACCACATCCACCATAAAATCCTGAGGAATGGAGATAAGTGGGAATTGAGCGAGCTTTTCCAAACAGCTTCATTGGGTCATTGTTTGTCTTAGTCAGCTCAGGCCACCATAACAAAATACCACAGACTGGGGTGTCTTAAACCGCACACGTTTCTTTTTCTCACAGATCTCCAGACTGGGAAGTCTGAGATCGAGGTGTTGGCAAGGTAGGTTCTCTGATTTCTTCTCTTGGCCTGTAGGCGGCAGCCACATCACTGGGTGCTCACGTGACCTCTTCTCTGCACATGTGCAGAGAGAGAGAGAGAGCACCAACTCTCTAGTGTCTCTTCTTATGAGGGCACTAATCCCCTCATGAGCCCTACTCTCAAACTTCATCTAAACACATTTACCTCTCAAAGGTCCCAAGTTCTAAGTACCATCATCCTGGGAGTAAGGATTTCAATGTATGAATTCTGGGGTGGTGGGGGGCACACAGGACACAATTCAGCCTATAGTAGCATTGTTCAAAGTGCGGTCTCTTGGCCCTACACATAGAAGATGATGCAGGGGAATTTGTTTGTAAAGCATTTAATATATTTGGCCCCGGGTTAAGGTTTTCAATATACTATTTCATTTAATAGAGCAAGCCAAATTGGGAGGCTCAGAGAGATGAGATCACTTTCTCCAAGTCACAAAACTAGTAAACTTTGCAGATTCCATCCCTGTCCCATCGGACCCCAGTGCTATAGTCTTCTTGCTGGCCCCTGGGGCCTTTCTTAAATTTCAGTACTTGCCGTTAGCTTATGTAAGAGTGATTAGGCCCACAGCAAACAGGCTCATACCTCCAAGGCCACATGAAACCAATTTGAATCAGGAAGTCAATGTTTTTATTTCATAGAGAGAGCTACAGTTGGTCAAAGAGCATATATCTGTGTTTGCCCTTTAATCCATGAATGAGTTGAAGAAAGTGATTTCTTTAACTGCTTAGTTAATGTGAAATCAGACCAAGGGATTTGGATGGTGTGCACTGGTCAGTACTGGCTGTTGTTTTGCGTTCTTCTTCTTGACCATGTGATTTTTCACGTCCCTTCACATCAGTATCATCTAGCTTAGGATGTAAGGACTATGTCAATCGAAATTACTGCGTACAGCCGAGTATAGTAGCAAAGCGAAAGAGGAATTTAAAAAAGAAGCCCGCTAACTGCTCTTTACCCGGCGACATCCCTAGGTACACATTCAAATTCTTGGCTGCTAAGCCACGAGATTCTACAAATGTTCTTCCTTGGGTTTGGAACCCAGCGGATCCAGCCTCCAAAATTCTTAGCCCCCTCCCATGTTGACCTAGTACCCAGCACTACATTGCAGCTCCTCCCCCCTCACCCCCCCAAACAGCCCCCATTTAGTGCTACAGGGGTTGACAATTGTTTCCTGTAAAGGGCCAGATAGTAAACGCTTTCAACTTTGCAGGCTATACAATCTCTGTTGCAACTACTCAACTCTGTGGTTGTAATAGGAAAGCAGCCCCAGACAGTATATAAACAGATGAGTGTGGCTATGTTCCAGGAAAATTGCTTTCATTTTAAAAAGGCGGCAGCCCAGATTTGGTCCACTAGCGGTAGTTTGCTCACTCCTGCACAAGCAAATAACGTAGTCTTTCTTGAGATTTGTATGATGGAGAAGAGTGTTCTTTTATACCACACACTTCACCGAAGAACTCACTTAAAACCCCCAATGAAATTCTCATTGTTTTACCCCAAAGTCTCTTTTGGCCTCCAGTAACCCCCAGTCTCTTTTCTCTCTCCCTTTCTACCGCAAAGACCCCAATATTCTTCAAAGCATTTCAGTTCTTCCTTAAAACTTGCAAGCCCCGTTAAACAGTTAACAATACCCACTGTCCTTTAAAAGTGGGTTAAGCGAGTACTATTGTTAGTGGATTGTGTCCCTTGAAAGTCTCGCTCTCTACCCCAAGATTGCATTAAAAATGCAATGTCCGATAATCGCCTGAAAAAGACTTCTGTATCTTTAATCATTAGGGAATCACAGATTTAAAACTCAATCACATACCACCGCACATGCACTAGAATGACTGAAATAAAAAAGCTTGACAACACCAAATGTTAGTGAGGACATTGCTTATGGGAAGGTAAAATTTTACAGCCACTTTGTAAAACTGTTTGGCAGTCCTTTGATAAACATATACCTACCCTCTGACCCAGCCATTGTACCCTTTTTATTTATCCAAGAGAAATGAAACCGTATATCCACATAAAGACCTGTACATGCGTGTGCCTAGCAGCTTTATTTGCAATAGCCCAGATCTGGAAACTGGCCAGATGATTCTCCACAGAAAAATGAAGGAACTGTGGTATATTCATATCATAAGATACTAGTCAGCTCTAAAAAAAAAAGGGAATGAACTATTGCTATGGACCAAATGTGTGTGTGTCCCCCCAAAAGTTATCTGTTGAAGCTTTAATTCTCAGTGTGATGGTACATGGTTGTGAGGCCTTCAGCAGCTAGTTGGGTCATGGCCAGGGAGCACTCATAAATGGAGCTAGTGCATTCAGAAGACGAAACTGGAGAGAGATGTTCCTTCTCGGCCGAAGGAGGATACGGCCAGGCAACCAACCTGCAGACTGGGAGGAGGGCTTTCACCAGATGCTGAATCTGCTGGCATCTTGATCTTGGAC